TTTTTTTTTTTTTTTTTTTTTATGATTTTCTACTGTTGTACTGATAAATATCTCCTGGAGGGTAAACTATATCTTGGATGCAAGTATCAAGCTGTGAAACCGTTCGTTTTCTACAACTGATAGTGGTTGGTCATTAATTATGATGAAGTTTAGCAACATCTCTGTAAACATTTGAGCTCCGGGGCTTCGGCGATGTCTTCTTCTTGTTCAATCTGCAGCAGGCAGCCTGATTTCGGTCAGCTGCGCTCAGTCTGTCTCTCCTCCGACATGGGAGACTGAGTGCAGCTGGCCGGGGTCGAGTTGGTTGTTTCGGGTTGAGCAAGGAGCAGCGCCCCGCTGAAGCCACGGAGCTCGAATGTCCAACGTAAAACTAACTTTAACGTGGTTTAATGTGACGCTATGACTCTGCAGACATTGCACGTTGCTGTCTTGTTTTGTGGTGTTTCTAGTGTAAAATACTTCTACACAGCGGACATGTTTGTTTAGATGAAAAGTTTGTTAGCTGTTAGCCACAGTGCTGCTAACTCAGTCCTCACGTTGTAGCTGACTGCAAACTATGAAACAGATTTCCTGAATGTGAGGCGGGTCTGGGCTCTGGGCTCATGAGACAGGCCTCTGTTCAGGAAATCCATTCCATAGTTTGAAGCCAACATGCATCATGGATCAGAAATATCGGCAGGTTGGATCGGAAAAATCCAATACGTAAATTATGCTGGAGGCTGATACCGATACTGGATCGGATTGGCCCCATCCCTAATTTCAACTTCCTGTGTTTTTCCCCTCACCGTTCCTGCCTCTCTCCAGGTGTCATGTCTCTCTCATCTGTCTTGTGTTCTGTTCTCACTTGTGTTTGCTGGAGGTTTCTTCCTTTTAAAGGGAGTTTTTCCTTTTCCAGTGTTGCCATTGTGCTTGCTTAGGATGGGAGACTGCAACGAAATGAAGATTCAATGAGTCTGCTACTTCCTTAGATAGAGAACTTCAATATCTGTCTTTTCTATGTATGTGAATGTTACTGTAAATTGCCCCGAGACAACTTTGTTGTGATATGGTGCTATACAAATTAGGGATGGGGCTGATTCGATCCGGTATCGACCTCCGATACCAGCATAATTTACTTATCGGATTTTTCCGATCCACCTGCCAATATTTCCGATCCATGATGCACGTTGGCTTCAAACTATGGAATGGATTTCCTGAACGGCGGCGTGTCTCTTGAACCCAGAGTAATAAGACCCGCCTCACATTCAGGAAATCCATTTCATAGTTTGCAGCCAGCTACAACATGAGGACTGAGTTAGCAGCACTGTGGCTAACAGCTAACCAACTTTTCATCTAAACATGTCCGCTGTATGGAAGTATTTTACACTAAACACCACAAAACAAGACAGCATCGTGCAATGTCTGCAGAGTCATAGCACCACATTAAACCGCGGTAAAGTTAGTTTTACGTTGGACATTCGAGCTCCGTGGCTTCAGCGGGGCGCTGCTCTTTGATCAACCCACAACAGGCGACTCGTCCCCGGCCAGCCGAGTCCAATCTGCCCCGCTCAGTCTGCCCGTCTCTGAGGAGGGACAGACTGAGCGCGGCTGCCCCAAATCAGGCTGCTTGCTTCGGATTAAACAAGAAGAAGACATCGCTGAAACCACGGAGCTCAAATGTTTACAGAGAAGTTGTTAAACTTCATCATGATTCATGACCAACCACTATCAGTTGTAGAAAACAAAGGATTTCACAGTTTGATACTTGCAGCCAAGATATAGTTTACCCTCCAGGAGATATTTATCAGTACAACAGTAGACAATCATTAAAAAAAATTTGAAAATTATATTAAATACAAAAACAGCTACATTATAAAGTGATGTAAAATACTAAAAACAGGAACATGTCTGTTGGTTTGTACCAGGTGTTTGAAGCCATTTAACATTTTATTTTTTTAATTCATTTATTCATTCATTTAAAAGAAACAAAATAAAAAAATCATCAAAAACAAAACATTGAATGAAAAGAGTGTAGAAAGAAGAAAAATAATTCTTATATCTGCCCCTTATTTTAAAAAAAGTATAAAATAACTTTAAACAATCACTTAAATTAATCACTTTAATAAGCACTTTAAAGCTAGGAATAAAAAGAAACATGTTTTGTGTTAGCAGAATTTAATTCTAACTTTAAAACTTATCCAACATTAATAAAACTTATCTCAAGTTGCCTTTTTGGACATGCATGCATATATTTGTACAAATTGTACTTGAGAGGAGATTATTACAGCCTCATATAAAATCAATGATGATCATGATATTGGAACTGGATCGGTATCGGCCGATACTTAGATTTAGGGATCGGATCGGATGTAAAAAAAGTGGATCGGTGCATCCTTAATATAAATAAACTGAATTAAAATTGAATTGAATTGTCCATCATTGTGCTTTCAAGCTCTTGATGTTGTTTCCTTTGAGGCTTCCAGAATTCTTTGCTCGTGAATATTTTTGATTTTCATGCTTTTCATTTAAGTTTATCTGAGAGCTTTTTGTATTTTTCTGCTTCTTTGTCAGCTTTTTGTTTTCTTTTTGTAGATAAATTAATTATTTCCTTTGACTTCTCTGAGTTCTGCATTCAGCTTCAGGTTTTCTCTTCAGACATAAAGGTTTGTTTTGTTTTGTGCAAATTTGCCACCAAAACTTATGAGAAATTATTCCAATGATTCACTTTCTTATAAACCTTTGAACCAAATCTGTGAGGTAGTTTCTGTGCTGTTGAAGCTTCGAACCTTCAGCCTGTTTCAGACTAAAAGTTGATCATGTGACTTTGGCCAAAGAAACGAGCTTCTGAAACACCGTGACGTTATTTTTGTTTATTTTTCATACACGCAGAAGATATGATCCCTTCACTAATGGATGCTGTCATTTACCAGAATGACAACCATGTTTGAATGATGGAGACCTGAACCCTGTGGTTGGGACCAGGACATTTAATTAAATGTTCAATAGAAGTTGTTTTTTTTGTTGTTGTTTTTAACACTACTGTTGCCTTCTGTATTCCAGCTGTGAGCAGCCTGTTGGAAAATAAAAGTCTGACCAATGTGTAATCATTTTCAATGAGCAGGAAAATTTATGCTTAAACATTAAAAATGTCCCTGGAAAGTGTTAAGACAATGTTAAAATTTGAGTAAAAAAGTGCAGGAACCCTCAAAGACATGTATGTCACAAAGAAGTTCAATTTCAGTTCCTCAGCTGGTAGACTGTACATCTGGTTTTCATTTGTCTGTTAAAACATCAACTAAAGCAGGAGAGACATTCCATCGGGTTAGATCCAGAGTTGTGGACATCGTGTCACCATGAATGATCATAGTCTAATTGCTGATCTTCTTGTGTCTTACAGCCCAAAGAAGAACCAAAGAGAAGGTATGATGCATTCATACATTAAGTCATGACTTGTTGAGTGTAATCTTTTGAACAGATCTTTACTGACACACAGCTGACAGAACAACACTAAACATGTCACTCCCTGTCCTTGGATTGTTCTGGACTTTAACCCTTTACAGCTCCTTATCTTAAAGGAGTCTCAAACGGCCAGTTCAAACATCTCGAGCAATCACACATAAACAAAACAACAACAACAAAAAAATCTGCGCTTTACAATCTCTGTTTCATGAAGCATTTAGTCTTTTATGACAGAAAACCCTGGCATTTTGTTGAAGCAAACTCTAAACAACTGCTGAAATAAGCTAAAGAAGCTAAATATGAGTTGCTGAAGTTCAAAGAAACACAACAAAAGCTAAAATTAGATGAACAGATGCAAAATCATATAAACAGCAACTGATTGGGCAAAACTGTTTTATATATATAAAAATGTCAAAAAACGCAAACTAAATTTTAAATAGCCAATATTCAGACCTCTCTGGGGACTCTATAAAAAGCATACATCCATCCATCCGTCCATCCATCCATCCATCATCTTCCATATATTCCAAAGTCTGGCAGCAGCTTGAGCAAGGAGGTCAAGACCTCTCTTTCCACAGCCACCTCTTCCAGCTCTTTTGGGAGGATTCCAAGGCGTTCCCAGGCCAACCGAGAGACATAGTCTCTCCAGTGTGTCTGGGGTCTTCTCCAGAGTCTCCTCCTAGTTGGACATGCCTGAACCACCTCAACTGGCTCCTCTCGATGTGGAGGATCAGCAGTTCAACTCTGAGTCTCTCCTGGATAATTAAACTTCTCACCTTATCTCTAAGAGAGAGTCCAGCTACCCTGCAGAGGAAACTCATTTCAACCACCTGTATCCACGATCTCATTCTTTCTGTCACTACCCAGAGTTCATGGCCCTATGTGAGGAAGGAACGTAGACCAACCAGTAAACAGAGAGCTTTGTCTTACAGCTCAGCTCCCTCTTCACCACAACAGATGGGCACAGAGTTTGCAATATTGCAGACGCTTCGCCAATCCGTCTGTCAATCTCACGCTCCATTCTTCCCTCACTCGTGAACAAAACCCCGAGATACTTGAACTCTTCCACATGAGGCAGAACCTCACCCTCGACCCGAAGAGAACAATCCACCCTTTTCTGACTTAGGACCATGGCCTCAGATTTTGAGGTGCTGATTCTATTTCGTATAGGCTTCACCCTTTAAGGGCCTCGCTAGTGGGTTTTATCCCGTCATCATCATCATCATCAACAACTTTATTTATAAAGCACTTTAACACAGCCATAGCTGAAACAAAGTGCTGAAACATCAGTTAAAAACAAGTTAAAAGAGAGCATAAAAATGTCATGCAAAGCATCGCACTGAAACGTTTAGTCCACGTCCACCTGTTGTGTGGGCCCCACCTGGTCCATATAAATTCCGTTAAGAGCGGGTTATTGGCTCCCATTTTTCTTCAGCAAACGACTAGCACTGACCTTCAACAACGAGATGTCTAGCACCAACACCATTCGCCTGTGTCCGTCCTGCAAGACCGGCTACTTGCTGAGCTTTGACTGGCACGACACATGGGAAGGATGCCTGGGTCCCCACCACGCCACCCACGCCTCCTCCTGCCACCTCTGTGACCTCCTCCCTCAGGAGGAAAGGCAGAGGAGAGCAGCCTTGTTCAAGGCTAACGTTGAGGACTGTCTGTCCGTGGCGGGATACTTTTCGCTGGATGATGTAATCGACTTTTTTGACGCCGGCTCTCGGAGCGAATCGGATGGTTCCTCTGGGACAGGCGACGTCAGCAGCAGTCCCGCTGCTCATTCCCTCCCGGAGAGCGTAGTGTCGGAACGAAGGGGGCCGAGTGGATGCTCACCCCCCCCGGGCCTTTCCGCCTCAACGGCCACACCGCTCCCGCCGTCTGTGCCCTCCTCGGAGCTGCCTGACATAATCCGGGAGGCTGCTGACACGAAAGGACTTTCCGTCCCTCTCCTCCCCCCGCCCAGATCGGATGATCTAGCGGGAAGGTTTGGCTCCACCCTGGCTCGCCATCCTGATCCCATCTGGTCTCGTTTCCCAGCAGTGGCGTCCGACTGGAACGAGGCTGCAGCCGGTCCTGGTAAATTGAGAGCGCCCGTCTCCACTTTCGCTCCCATCACCAGAGTGGAGGGGTTCACCGAGCGGAACTTTCCCTCGGTACCCCCCCTGGAGCCGAGCCTGGCGGAAGCTTTCAGAGCAAAGCTGTCCAGCTTGGACCAACATCCTGTCCCTCCTGGGAAGCATGACCAGACGGTGACTTCGCTCTCCAATCGAGCTCACCAGTGTGCGTTCCAGGCGACCGCAGCAAACAACAACGTGGCGCTGTTGGCGTACAGCATTTCAAAGAGGCTGGAGACCACAGATTTGCCTGAGGAGACTAAGAGCTCCCTCTGCAAGGCGTCTGACGTCATCCTCAACCTGTGTGTCTCTTCTGCTGTCTGCCTGTCCTGGATCACAGCTTGGATGGCAATGATCCAGAGGTCCACCTGGCTCCGTCACTCCCCTCCCTGTCGGAGAAACTGCATAACGACCTGATGGAGGGCCCCATAAGTCGGAGGAGGTGTCAGAGACTGTGCACCATCTCATCAAGTCGCACGCCTCATCCCGCCCCCCGGCCCGCTGGAATGATCGTCGTGGGCAAAGACAACAACAACAACGTTCTACAGCTGCAGCAGCGTCTTCCCGCTCCGCTCCGCCACCAGCCCCGCCCGTCAGAGATCAGCCCTCCTCATCCCGGCAACCAGCAGTTCAGCGTTTCCTCAGAGATCGCCAACAGGCAGCGCCTTGGGATAACAAACCGCAGAGCTCACGGGGAGAAGATTCAAAAAATGACGGTTTGTGGAGGACGTGTATAATTATGACACAAGTTTTGAAATAAAACATGAACATCATTCAAAGATTAAAGTGTCTGATTTTAGCCTGTCTGTCAGCTCAGATGACCTCACAGTGGCTTCTCACACATCCTCCGCACAAAACAAGCCGGTGGCCTTAAAAAATGTTTTTCAGAATCACCGCAGCTCCAAAATAAACATGAGACGCTCACATGACACAACAGTTGAAAGCAAATGTGGTCCGCAGAACGAGTCCAGTGGAATAAATCATTTTCAGCCCGAGCTGCACGCTTTTCACCACAGCGGTGTCAAACGCATGCTCCCACAACGCCAGCAGCCTTCACTCAAACAGCGCTGCGTTGATGAAGGCATGCACACCTCTCCCCAGTGCTTGCCGGCTCGCATCAGCATAAATGTGAGACCGCAGAACGAATCCAGTGAGAAACTTTGCCCTCAGCAGGAGCGGCACGCGTCTCACCGCAGCGGTGTCAAAAGCTCGCTCCCGCGGCGCCGGCAGCTTTCACCCAAACAGCGCCGCATTGATGAAGGTGCGCACACCTCTCCTCAACACACGCCGGTTCACATCGTCATGAATATGAACCCACAGCCTGAGCGTGGCACAGAGGCGCGCTCAGAGCCCTTTCGAGAAAGCCTCGCCTTGGGTCATGTGGAACACAATTCCGCGGCGCATGACGGCGGTCGAGGCTGTAGAATGGCTGACGTCCGTAAGAAACATGACGCACCACCTAAATGCGCGCCCACTCCACGAACGTTATGCGGAGTTGCAGCGGACATGCTCGCCAGACAGATGGATGAGAAAGTTGATAAACAAGGGTTATACGCTACAATTCGCAGCTCAACCCCCTCCGTTCAGAGGAGTTTTAGAGACGGTTCTGTCATCACCAGACCAGGTCTCATCCTAAATGCAGAAGTCCAGGAACTTCTGGTAAAAGAGGTAATTTCCAGAGTTCCTGACGGAGAGGAAAACACAGGGTTTTACTCACGTTACTTCCTGGTTCCAAAACGGACCAGAGGAACGAGACCCATTTTGGACCTGTCAGTTTTCAACAAGGCGATCGTGGACAGACTGTTTCACATGTTGACAACCAGACAACTGTTGGACAACATCCAGAGAAACGATTGGTTTACCTCCATTGATCTGAAAGACACCTACTTCCACATACCGATCATCCCAAAGCACAGAAAATTCCTGCGCTTCTCCTTTCAAGGGATACAGTACCAGTACAACAGGCTGCCTTTCGGTTATTCCCTCGCGCCTCGTACATTCTCAAAGTGTGTGGAGACGGCCCTGTAACCATTACACAGAGCAGGGATGAGAATTTTGTTTTACCTAGACAACCTGTTGCTGCTGTCACGCTCTAGACAGGAACCCGCGGCGCAGACTCAGGTGCTGACGTCACACCTGCTAAATCTGGGCTTCGCCATAAATTGGGAAAAAAAGCTCGATTCTCCCGGCCTAGACGATTGTTTATCTGGGAGTGGAGCTAAACTCGATCACCATGAGGGCTTGTTTATCACAGACGAGAATCGACTAAAAGACCAACTCCGTCACGTAAGACCTGGCAGAGAGGTAACAGCCATTTCTGTCATGAAGCTGTTAGGAACGAGGTCGTCAGCTCACATAGTGGTTCTGCTGGGCTTACTCCACATGCAACGCCTCCAGAGATGGTTTGCTCGCTTGCGCGTGGATCTGGTAAAGCAAAAGAGACGGAGGATCACTGTTCCTCCCTCCGTGAGAACAGACCTCCGACACTGGGAAAACCCCCTGGTTCTGCTGGAGGGAGTCCCCGTCAGTAGACCTACGTCACACGTGTCAGTCTTCACAGACGCGTTGCTGTCAGTTGGGGGGGGGACATGCCTATCCCGAGCTGTAGAGGCGCTGTGACCACCTCACACAGCAGCTCATATAAACGTTCTGGAATGCTGCATGGTTCTGAATGTGATTCAACACTTTGCTCCTGTGCTGCAGAATCAACACGTTTTGATTCACACAGACAACAAGGTTACTGCTGCATACATAAACCGGCAGGGGGGTGTACGCTCAGCCTAAATGTTACACATTGCAAGAAAATTACTGTGTTGGGCACACCAAAATCTGCTCTCCATC